AGAGAGAGGGGGGGGGGGGGGAGAGAGGGCGAGGGCAAAGCGCACTCGGAAGGGAACTTGGCGCACTCGTAGACGGACTGGATCGTGTGGAAGATTGCCTCCTCGCACGGCACCTGCGGGCAGGGAGGCGCTGTGAGCGGGGGCGGGCGGGCGGGAGGCGTCTCTCTCTCCTCTCTCTCCTCTCTGCGGGGCCTCGCGCTTCTTCTTCTTCTGCTCGTCTGCGCGCGGCCGCTCGGCAGGGTCCTTGTAGAGCGGGTTGTTCTCCTCTGAGAAGAAAGGGAAGAGGTCGCGCCTGCGGGAGGAGGGAGGGAGGGGAGGGGAGGGGGGAGGGAGGGGAGGGGAGAGGTCGCGGCTGCGGTGCGGCGCCCCGCCGGAGGGAGTCGAGCGCGCGAGGGAGAGGGGAGGGGGGGAGGGGGAGGGGGAGGGGAGGAGGGAGGGAGGGCAGCGGAGGCGGGCGGGAGGGAGGGCGCGAGGGCAGGCGCGAGGGCGAGGGCGTGCGTCCCACCGGTCCTGTGAGGACTGCTCTCCTTGCTCGACTCGGTCGTGGATGACGACGGCGACGCAAAAGATGATCTCGTCGATGTCGGGCCGCGTGATCGTCGACGAGATGAAGATGGACGACGTCGAGTTGAACCGCGGCTCGACCTTCCTCTGCGGCTCGGCGGCAGCGACGGGTGCGGCGTCTGGGAGCGAGGGAGGAGACACGAGGGTCAAAGAGCCGGGCGGCAGGGGCGAGCCCTGGCGTGGACCGGCGCGAGAGGCGTCACGCGCGCGTCGAGGGCCTCCCCTGGCGCCCCGGTGTGGCAGCGCACCCGCCATGTCAACGTCAGTGGAGCAGCCCGCGTCTGCGGCGGCACGTGGGCGGCACGTCAGCTCCGCGCCGATGCGAGACGCGGCCGGTGAGCGGGCGCGCGCCGGCTGACGAGAGCGAATCGATGCCCAGTAGAATCCGCTTGCGGTGCCCGGCCATGGAGACGCCAATCTCTTTCAGCGACCCGTCGTCCATGCGCTTCAGAGCCTGCTCCGTGGTGACGCCTGCGGCAGCGAACGCCGGATCGTACTTGGCCATGTTGAGGGCCTGCAGCCAGCCGCCGACGGAGCCGTCCGGGAGCGAGGTAGGGAAAGAGGCGGACATTGGCGGCCGGAGCTAACCAACCCTGCCCGGTGGTTTCCGCGACATGACTTTATTACCGCGCTTTTCTTTTCGTGACTGTCGATTCTTTTTTTACTAGGTGGCGCCCAAGCGGGGCCCAGCGCCAGTGCGACATCTGTCTCTGATGAGCTGTTTGCTTCTCCTCCATTCGCCTGCGCTGTCGCTCCATCAGCACACCTCACCGCCGTGCTCTCGCCGTGCGTGCCTGCGTGCGTGTGCGGCGGCGGCCGGCGACATGCCGCTCGTCTTCTCGACGACTGCGGGCGGGCTGCGGTTGCGGGACGTCGAGACGGGCGGCGGCAGAGAGGCTGCAGCGGGCGACGTGGTGCGAGTTCTCTTTAGCGGGTCGCTGCTGTCGGGTGCGGAGGGCTGGAGCGTGAGCGAGCGCGGCGAGACTTTCGCCATCGGCAGAGGCAACTCGGCAATGTGGGAGGAGGTGGCGGTCGGCATGCGCGTCGGGGGGCGACGGACCGTGCTCGTGCCGCCGTCCGCGTCCCTCCGCCCGAGAAAAAAGGGGCGCGCGCTGCTGGCGCCTCCCGGCGAGACGATGCGGTTCGAGTGCGAGCTCCGCGCCATCGAGTCGGGCGTGACCGCCCTCGCCGTGCGCTCGGGCCTGCTCGGCGTCGGATCCGTCGCCGCCCCGCTCGCCCTGATCGCGCTCACCAACTGGCTCTGCTGCCTGCTCTGGGCGGGCCTGCCCCAGCCCGCCGACGCCGCGGAGGCGTCGAGCGCTCGCCTTGCCTGCTCGTCCCGACCCTAACCCTCACCCTCTAACCCTAACCCTTAGGCCTGCTCGCCCGGCCGGCTGCTCGAGTCTCGCGCGCAGCTCGACCTCGCCGTGCAGGCTTGCTCCGTGCAGGCGTGGCCAGAGGCGCTCGAGCTAGCATCCGACCCGCTGCTGGACGCCGCTTCCCTGCGCGCCTCCCTCGCCGCTTGTTCCTCCCCTCCGGCGCCCTCCCCTCTGGCGCCCTCCCCTCCGGCGCGCGAGGCCGCGCTGCTCGAGCGGCTCGACGCGCTGACGTCCCTGCTGCGCGAGGTTGCGCCGCGGGGCAGCGCCGGCCCGGAGGCGGTGCGGGCGATGAGCCTGGGCACCGCGGCGCGCGCCGACCTCGACGAGGCCCTCCGCAGCCGAGGGATCGACGACGGCGGCGGCGGGGCGCCAGCAGACCAGCAGCCGTCTCCGCAGCGGCGCCGGCCGGCTCGGTCGGGTCCGCCCGGCATGAGCCTCGCCGGCCCCGAGCCCTCGCCCGAGCCCTCGCCTCGCGTGCCCTCCGTCGTGGTGTGCGGACTCGACTGGACGCTCTGGCCGCGGCCGCGGGTCAAGTCTTCCGGCGTCGCCTGGGCGCCGGCCGAGGGAGGCGGAGGCGGGCTGCGCTCCCCGTGCGGCGCGCGGCTCGACCTCTTCCCTGGCGCGCGGGCGGCGCTGGCGGCGCTGGCCGACGGCGGCATTTCCCTCGCCCTCGCGTCGCGCAGTCACCGGCCGGAGTGGGCCGTCGAGTGGCTGCGCTCGCTCCGTGTGGGCGAGAGGAGCGTGGCCGAGCTGGTCGGTGGGTCGCCGGTGCTCTTTCGCGACGGACCAAAGGCGCTGCACGTGCGAGAGATAGCGGAGCGGGTGGGCGTTGCGGTGGAGGAGGTCCTGTTTTTCGACGACCGCCTCTCGGACGTGGTGAGCGTCCGTCGGGAGGGCGCCACCGCGGTGCACTGCCCGGGCGGCCTCAGTGAGGAGAGGCTGCGCGAAGGCCTCGCGCTGCACGCGGACCGGGAGGGAGGCAGCGAGGGAGGCAGCGAGGGAGGCAACGAGGGAGGCAGCGAGGGAGGCAGCGAGGTAGGCAGCGAGGGAGGCAGCGGGCCTCGCACCGGCACGCGCGGGCGAGTCGCGAGGCGGCGAGGGCGCGCCGCCCGCCGCCGCTCCTCGGCAGCGCGGCTGGTCCTGCGGGCGAGCGACGAGGCGGTCGTCATCGAGCAGTGCGAGACGCTCGCGGACGGTCGCCTCACCGGCGTGTGCTCCGAGGGCGGCGCTCGGATCTGGCTCCCGCCCACAGCCAGAGGCTACAGACTCGGCGGGCCTCGAGAAACGGCGAGGGGAGGGGCGGCGGCGGACGCCAGCGAGCTGTCCTCGCGCCGCCGTGCGCGGCTCCGGCGGGTCCGCGATGCGAGCGCCGCGCGGGCCGCCATCGCGGGGCTGCTGCTGTGCTTTGCCGCCGGGTTTGGGCTCGGCAGCCACGCGCCGGGAGCCGTCCCGCCGCCGCCGCCGCCAGCGACCACGACCGCCGCGGCGGCGCCCGCGTTCGAGCGGCTGGGGCGAGGTCTGACGACGGGCGAGCAGCTGGCTCGGCAGCAGTTTCGCGTCGAGGCGGACAAGGCGGAGCTGCGCGACCTCGAGGCGGCGATACGGAGAGAGGGGCTCCTCGTGGGCAGGAAGTCGCATGCCGAGCGGGCGCAGGCATACCGCGCGGCGCTGCAGGCCGAGCAGCCGGCGGCGGAGCAGAGGGTGGAGGAGGAAGTGCTCGCGTTCAAGACGCGGCTCGACGCCGAGGGCAGCACCGTGCAGGCGCGGCGTCGGGCCGCCATCAGGAAGATGCAGCTCCAGGTCCTCCAGGACGAGGAGGGCTTGCGCGAGATCTCGAGGGTCGTGGCCGAGCGCGGGCCCGCTGCCCAAGCGGTCCAGCTCGGGGTCTTCGCGAGTGATGGACAGCGGTTCCCTGAGTTCAGCTTTATTCCCTGAGTGCAGCTTTTGCTTTTTCCCGCCATGTGACCCCGCCGTGGATCTTGTTTACGTTTTCTGCCCGCACGTCGGTGTGTTGCATGTCACGTTTTGTACCACACAGTATATCCTTACCGCTGCTCCTACGGCACGCAGATCGCAGTGCAGGTTTCAGTGGGGTAAGATCCGTTAGCGGGAGATCGCGAGATCAAACAACGCGTTGATAACCTAAAAGATCGTAAAAGTCAACACTTCAGATTGCCAACACAGTCTCATCCTCAGCGCAGAGATGTCAAAGGACAAGGTGCAGCGCAAGCGGGCGGTGAGCGGCAGAAGCAAACCGGCACCTGCGGCGGCATCGCCTTCGCGCCGATTTGGACCTGTGCAACTGTGCCTCGCGACCGGGGTTTGCCTGCTCGCCGGCGCAATCAAGCTCTGCGCGAATCGCTGGGCGCGGCCGTCAGCTCCTGGCGTCAGGAGAACGGCAGTGAGCGACCGCATGGTTGGTGGACCTGAGCTCGGCAAGAGAGCTGGCCGCGCTGGTGTCGTCCCGTCCCCAGTCTTGCTGTGGAGCGCGCAGTACAGTAGTGCTAAGCCGCTGCGGCTGGCGATGAAGATGTGGCACATCGCCGCCTCGCAACATCCGCGCCTCCTGGGCCGCCTGGTGCGCAATGCAGTCGCCAGGGCTAAAACGGGCGAGTTGCCCCTCCCCGACTGCCTGCTGCAGGAGATCGCCGTGGTGACTCCAACCCTCGAGGAGGAAGACCTGCAGCCCCTCGAAGATTTCTTGTGGCAATCTCTCGGACACGCCAGCCGCGGGGGTGAGATCGAAATGGACCGCAACTTCTTTGCTCGCGCCGTAAAGCGTGCCGGACTGCTCCGACGGCTTGTCGAGGGCGAGCCGATAGACTCCTCCGGCCTGACTGCTCTCACTCGCAATGCATTCTTCGGGATGGCACACGTGGTTAGCATCATGCTGCTCGCCGGTGCTGACGTCAACGGCCGCACCGCGGGTGGGGACACGGCGCTGCACATCGCCCTCGACCAGTGGTCCCAGAAGCAGACCAGCTTCCACAGGAATAAGTGCGCAGATCATGACCATGACCGCGTCGTCCACGAGCTCCTAGCGCACCCGTCGCTCGACATCAGCGCGACAGACGGGGCTAGCCGGTCGTTGGTGGTGGCGGCGGTGCAGGCGCGACACCTCTTCGCGCTGCAGCAGCTTCTACGCCCTGGCGCGGCGGTGACGGCTTCACCAGGATTCATGAGGACTGCACTTCACGAGGCCACCGATGCCTCGAACGTCCTCATCACCGCGTCGAAGTGGAAGATTCGGCACTCCAGCCACTACGTGGACAGCTCTAGCTTTAAGTGCGCACACGATTCGGTCAAGACGTATAATATGTCTTCCACGTCTAGCTTGTACGACGACTCTTACACGCACATCGATTCAGCTGCGCTGCGCGCCGAAATCTTTGAGTGGAATGCCCAGTTCGTCGACACACTTCTGGAGGCCGGGGCCGACGTCGACGCCGCAGACCCATTGGGGCGCACTGCGCTCCACTACGCTGCCCGCCTAGGTAATGGCCCGGCCGTGCGGCTGCTTCTTGGCGCGCAGGCCGACGCAGGCACACGGGATATATTTGATCACACGGCGGGCGATCACGCCATCTATGCTGGCTACGACGATCTCGGGGCGACGCTGAACGGGTGTGGGAGTGGGATGGGATCCGGTTGCAACCTGACTGAGCGAGGTGCGGGAGACGGCGACCAGAAGAGCCAATTTTCGTCGCGCTTCTCACCGTCGTTCATCGATCGCACACCCCAAGCGCCCAGTGAGTGGGGCAGGCCGCGCTCGGTGCCGGTGGTGGAGGGCGAGGACCTCTCGCGGGTGCGGTGCGATGTTGACGTGCGCGAGAACCTCACGGTAGAGAGCTTCGGCAGGGAGCACTTTGCCCGGCAGCGGCCAGTCCTGCTGCGAGGCGCTCAGCACGGGGACTACTCGCACATCGCACTACTCACCGCTACTAGGGACACATTTGCATGCCCCCCCCCCCCCCCCCCCTCTTAGGGTCGCTGCGCGGGGAGCTGGGCGCGTGGGAACTGGGCGCGCTGCGGTCGATCCTTGCCGATGTGGAGCTGCAGGTCGCCACGCTCAACCAGTCGAGTCCGCGCAGCACCTCGAGCCTCATGTCGCTGCCTGAGTTTGAGGCCGCCCCTAGCCTAGCACGCCAGTGCAGACCGCCCCAATGCACACCGTCGCAACGATGTGAGTAGACGCTCCTGGGGCGCGAACAGCACAAGCTCGAGCAGCACGCGGCGGCGTCCACCCTCTCGCCGGACACCGTCGTCGAGGCGCGGTGGGATGCGCACCCGCAGCTGCACGAGATGGCACTGCACCTCCTCAAGCAGCAGCCCGTGAGCGGCTGGCTTGGTGAGCTTTCGCGGGGCACGACTCGAATCAACAACTACCAGATCAACATCGGCTCGCCCTACTCTGGCACTTCCCTGCACTTCCACTACTCAGCCGTGAGTGTGCTACTGCACGGCCGGAAGCGGTGGTCTCTGTTCCCGCCCGCCGATGCATCCTACAGCACTGCCCACTTTTTCGACGACTTTGAGCTCGCCCGCCGCGGTGACTTCGGACGCCAGCTCGAGTGCACGCAGCAGGCTGGCGACGTGCTTTTCGTGCCCAGTATGTGGGGACACGGCGTGCTCTACGAGGAGAACTCAGTTTCGGCGTCGATCCTTTATGACGCATGACGGTTAATCGTGAGCAAGACACGTGGCGAGGGCAAGGACCGAGGTCAGATGCAACTTGCCAGGCATGGGCATGTGTGGGGGCGCGCCGCAGACTGTGGTCTGTGCAGACTGTGCAGTCTGCACCGTGCACGTGTGCACGCTTCGCTCGCTGGCCTCTGCTGCTGAGGGGCAGTTTAGTTAGTCACTGTGCTGGTGTCGCGTCTCCAAACACCAAAGAACTATGAAGTACAGGTCCTATAACGCACGCATCCCACCACAGCCGCTGCCGGTGGGGAGCCCCACCCGCTCTCCACGGACCACGCCCACTCTCTTTGTCTCTCTGATATGTGCCTCTCAAACACCCCCCACCACCCAGCCTCGGCTGTGGCTGCATATATGCACCCAAACAAATGTGCGCAACACACCTCGGCCGCCCAGGCCGGAGCAAAGGCAACTCACGTCTAGAGAGTACATTGGCGCGCGGGAGTGAAGGCGGTCGGTTGTTGAATGGACGCGGCCCACCGCGACCCTCTCGCTCACTCCATGAACTTGACCTTGCCCTCCTTGAGCAGCTTGCCGATGTAGAGCTGTGGAGGGGAGGGAGGCGGGGGGGGGGGTCTCAGAGACGGGAGGCTAGCCTAGCCCCGAGGAGCAACAGAGGGGCCGCGACCAGCCCAACTCCCGGCTGGAGGTGGTGGCGTGGCCTGCTCGGAGCGAGGGTCGTGATTCGACTGCTTGAGGAGGTCCTCGATGAACCAGCCGAGGACACGCTCGTGCCTAGACTCACACCGCCCGCCGCAAGAGTGAGAGGCCCCCTCCCCGCCGCCTCTCCGTCCGGCGGGTGGCGGTGTCGCGCCACGGCTCGAAGTTCTCAAAGTAGTGCTTGGGCTGGCCCGGCTTGAAGCCGTCGAAGCCGACAAGCACGATCTGAAGAGACGGGGGAGAGGGGTGGGGGGGAGGGGGGTGACAGTGACGTCTCCTCTCCCGCACTCTCCTCTCCCAGGCTCCTCTCTCTCCACAAGGCGGCACTCATCTCGGCTGCACCTCGGCAGCATCTCGGCAGCATCTCGGCAGCATCTCGGCAGCATCTCGGCAGCATCTCGGCAGCATCTCGGCTGCATCTCGGCAGCATCTCGGCTGCATCTCGGCCCTCGCCTCCTCGACCTCGCCGGCGTCGAGGAGCTCGCAGAAGAGTCCGACCGCCGACATGCCTGTGTGCGGGAAGGTTCCCGGACCGCCTCGCGGATGGCTCGCGAGGAGCTCTCGCGGCAGAAGGGTCCGACCGGCGCCGACGCGCGCCGGTCGTGAAGTACATTCTAGGGAGTGTCTAGGAAGTGTGTAGGACGCGCGCCGGTCGTGAGGTACATTCTAGGGAGTGTCTAGGAAGTGTGTAGGACGCGCGCCGGTCGTGAAGTACATTCTAGGGAGTGTCTAGGAAGTGTCTAGGACGCGCGCCGGTCGTGAGGTACATTCTAGGGAGTGTCTAGGAAGTGTCTAGGACGCGCGCCGGTCGTGAGGTACATTCTAGGGAGTGTCTAGGAAGTGTCTAGGACGCGCGCCGGTCGTGAGGTACATTCTAGGGAGTGTCTAGGAAGTGTCTAGGACGCGCGCCGGTCGTGAGGTACTTTCCCCTTGGGAGCGAGACGGCGGCTGAGAGCCGCTCGTTCCACGCGGGGGAAAAGAGGACGGCGGAGGCGATGTGCCTGAGCACGCCGCGCACGTCCATCGAGACGACACCGGCGGGCGGGAAGAGGCGCAGCATGAGGTGCATCGGCGCGAGCATGCAAGAGTTGGTGAGCATCGGGAGCACCTGCGGGGGAGAGGGGGGGGGGGGGGGGCAGGCGGGGGAGGGAAAGGCCGTGCCCCAGCCCCAAAACAGCGCCAAAACAGCGCCAAAACTGGGCAGGGGAGGGCACCCGGGCCCCCTAAGGCAGGGGGGCCCCCTCTACTAAGGCAGGGGGGCCCCCTCTACTAAGGCAGGGGGGCACACTCTACTAAGGCGTGGCTCTCACCGCGACGGGCTCCGAGTCTGCTCGCACGGCCCCGCTGCCCTGCGGCTCCACGTGGGCCTGGTGCGAGGGGAGGGAGGGCAGGTGGCTGCTGGGAGAGGAGAAGGGGAAGGGGGGGAGGAGTGTGGGGAGGGGAGGGTGGCTCGAGGCGCGCGGGTGTCCTCTCCCTCCCGCTCCTCCCGCTCCTCCCGCTCCCGCGCTCTCTCGCTCGCCATGTTGCGCGACGTGAAGAGGTACGAGTTTGAAAAGTGGACGGTGGTGCGCGAGCCGCGGTGCTGCACCTGGGGCGGAGGGGGGGGGGGAGGGGGGAACTCCGGTCTGGGCTCGGGCCCATGCGTGTGCGTGTGTGGCGTGTGCGAGAGTGATGTGCCGCCCCGTGTATCTGTGTGTGCATGTGTGGTCTGTGGTGCGTGGAGTGGGTGTGTCGGTGTGTCGGCGTGCGAGGGGCTGCGCGTGCTCGGCGCGCCATCTCGTCGCCCCCGCACCAAAAGTGGTTGAAGCGCACGACCTCGTCGAAAGTGTCGATCTTCGTCCCGACGCCGCGCACCGAAGGCCCGTTCCCCACGATGACCACTCGCTTGCCCAGCTTCGGCTTGTTTGGCCGCACCTTTCGCAGGGCTGCGACCAGGTCGACGGTCGGCTGCGCCTTGGCTTGCTGGGTGAGGGAGGCGCAGCGGCCGAGGAGGAGGGTCCCTGCGGAGCGCGGCGAGGGGTGGAGCGCCGAGAGAGAGGCTGGCGGCACCGGCGAGGCGCACATGCGAGTATGTCGAAGAAGAAGGGGAAGTCGAGCGCGTAGAGGAGGAGCGCGTGCACGTGCGGCAGTCGCATGCCGATCGCGTAGTGCGCGTACAGCGTCAGGGCGAGGAGCGGCACGCGCAGGCTGATCGACGCGGCGATGCCCGCCGGCTTGACGGGCAGGTTGTGGCAGACGATGCCGACGAACAGCGCCTGCGGAATGACGAGGTAGCACGAGAACGGGACCAGGCGGAAGAGGATCAACAGGAGCTCGGCGACGAGTATGGCGGCCTCGACAAGCACTTGGCCCCACGGCAGCTCGGTGAGCAGGAACGGCATGCTTGACCGGAGAGAGAGAGAGAGAGAGAGGTTGTTGTTGTTGACCGGTGGCGCGCGCCTACGACGGAGGACCGTCGATGCCGGGTGAGGGGCGAGACAGAAGTAAGCACGAACAGCGGACCGAGACCTTCACCGTTTCGACTCTCGACTGGCTCCTTGGCGACGGCGCCTGCTCACTACTCGCTTAGTGTGGGTAAACCATAAAAGAGGTTTGAATTCGTCCACGTAAGGCTTGGTGAGTGGTTGGGGTGGCCTCAGGCATCCCCAAGGGAGCCTCTGCGGTGCCACATAAGCAGCTTGGTGATTGTCGAGACTTTAAAGGATTCGTTTGAAGAAACGCAAACAGGCCAGACACTACTATGGTCACCAGTAAACCATAATTCGACTTTGAGGGATCATATCTCAAAAAGCCGGGAGATAGCATAGCATTATTGTTGCATATTATGCCACATAAGGTCAAACTTGACCCCACAAGCATCAAGAACCCGATGCTCCGGCTCGACTGTGCCGGCACACTGCCTCCTCGTGCCAGCTGCTCGCAGGCCGTCGCGGCCCGTGGTGCACCAGAGAGAGAGGTCGACGCGTTGCCCCCGCCGGCGACCCCGCGCGGCTCAGGCCAGCCAGAAGGTGTGTGGTGACGGCGCCGTGGCAGGAGTGCGGAGAAGAGCTCGCCGAACGCGAGCAGCAGATGGCCAAAGTGTGCCAGCGCGAGAGCCTCGCGAGCGGGCGCAGAAGGAGCTCGCCGTGACACGATGCCGGGCGGTGGTGGTGCTCTGGCGGCTGTGCACAGTGGGCAAAGTCAGGCTGCAACAGGGCAGCACGGTGGTAGTGCCCTGCTGCAGCCTGGCCTGACATGCACAGGGCGAACAGAGGCACTACTATCGTCCGGCGCTCGTCACCGAATCTGGGCCAACTTCGACCGCCGCCACAGCTCGCCACGAGCACGCAGCGACAAAATGTTGACTGTACGGAAGTTGAGGCTGGTCGAGAGGAAGAGGCTGCCGTGCGAGCCGGCAGCAGGCTGGCTCGTCGTGGACTGCCGCGGCGACTTTTATGGGTTTCTCTGTTCATAGTAGCGTGCACGCTACTATGGTTTACCCACACTAAGCGAGTACTCGAGTAAAGAATTCTACAAAGGCAAGACGCTCTCACAGCAGACTGGCACGAACTAGCACCACAAAAGGCACAGCACTTAAAGAAACCCAGCCCGCTCCTCTGGGCCCGAGCCCTCGCGACAAGACAAGCGCCGAGGGCGGCAAAGCGCGGTGTAGGGCCGACGTCGAGGACGAAGTCAAGGAACAGCGTCCGCATGCGATGCCAGCGACAACGGAAAGTAAAACAGAGTTTTACAACAAAACAGAATTTAAACAACACAACTCTTTCTCTCTCTCTCAGCAGACAGGCTCGACACAGGTGCGAACTGGCGCGGCTAGCACTATCACAGGCACACCACCCCGCCTAAGCGACTCCGCTAAGAACGGCAATGTGCACTTAGCTCCGCGTGCACAATGCCGACAAAAAACGCCCTCTCGGACTGGAAGGAGGTGTGCGAGAAGCGCGCCGCCCGCGACAAAAACAAGTACTACACCGTCCGCGGCGGCTACCTGTCTGAGTTCTACCCCAAGAGCGTCCCGCTCCCCGAGCCCGAGTCCCTTCCAGCTACCGACGCGATTCTCAATGGCACTTGCAAATCCACGTACCCGCGGCCGCGGGCGCTCGCTGCCATCAAGAATCACAAGGACTGGTACGCGCACCAGGAGCTCGTCAAGGCGCGGGATGTGCACGTCAAGAACAACCCATCCCTCGGAGACAGCGCCGTCAACAACCGCGAAGCCGCGCGCTTCGTCTCCGCCTCAACGCCTTTCGCCGGCAAGGCCTTCGATGTCCGTGTCGACGGTACGGACGCCACCGCCCTCTCCTCCGACACCCTCCAGGACGAGCTCCAGCGGAAGCTCGGCCTTTATGGCTCTCCGCGGCGCTTCCCACCCTACGGGTCGCGCTCGAGCGGGGCATGCCAGTCGATTTCTTCGGCGACTACCTTTACAACAAGGCCCACCACCGGCGGCCCCACGACGGCGTCCTCGCCGCTGGGCGGACGCGATGCGCGCCCCGGCCAACGCGCCGGTCGTGCACGGCGACAAGGAGAAACCAGAGCTCACCCGGCAGTACAACGAGGGGTACAAGACTGACCTCGCAGAACCCCATGCGGGACCAGGAGGGTGCGATGACGTGAATGAAATCAAGCTCTGGACGCCCCTCCTCAAGACCTCCTCGCCGGGCGTTGGCAACGCCTCGAGTGGCGTCACGCCCGCCTCCGTTGGCCACTCCTACGCCTTCGCGGCAACACCGAAGAGAAGGCCCGCCGCCTAAACATGGGCTGCAAGGCGCGCGGGCAGCCCGGCCAACCCTTCTCCCACAAGACCGGCCACGGCTACGTCAAGGCGCGCATCGCGGTTTCTACCACGACGCGATCTTTGTCAAGCGCAACAACTTCAACCTGCTGCTCCACGAGACGTTCGGCGGCGGCTTCTCGCCCACCGCCGTTCTCAAGCTGCGCCGCCTCGCGCGCAAAGTCGCGCGCGGCAGCGTTGACCGCACGGCCTACTCGCCCGAGTACTCGCTCTCTTTTATGTCCCACCATGCAGAGCGCATCTCTCTCTCTGTTGTGCGAGGCGTGAACCGCGCCATTCGCTCTCACCTGGCAACCCTGTCTGCACGTCTCGCGCGCGCGTGAACAGGGCTCCAGGCCCCAAATGACGTGTGAGTGTTAGAGTTGTTTGATATTGCTAAAAATCTCTCTCTCTCAATGCCGAAACTTGGAGCACTTGGAGTGCAGTCATTAACCTCACATCCAGGGCCGGGGAGCTGAGAAGCGCACCCAGCGGGCCGGATGATCGGTATCGGGTTGAGGCAAGAACAGAAATTTACAACAAAGCTCCGTCGCACAACACTGGGCACGGGCGCACTCGCAAGAAACAGAAGCCGCTCGCAGCAAAAGACGTGGCGGCGGCGAAGTACCGGCGGCTCGGCACAGGTGGATTTACGGCCGATGACGCGCTCCTACCTCTTCCTGTGCGCCTCCCTGGTCCTCCGGGCGGACGCGTGGGGCTTCTGCGCGGACAACGACTCTTCTTGCGGCAACTGGGCAAAGAAGGGCGAGTGCGAGAAGGACCACGTCAAGAAGCTCTGCCCGCACAGCTGCTCGGTCTGCACGCACACGTGCCGCGACTCGGACCCGTCGTGCAAGCAGTGGGGCGAGCTGGGCGAGTGTGAGAAGAACATGATGGCCATGTTCAAGGACTGCCCCGTCACCTGCGGTGTCTGCAAGACAAAGTGCTACGACAAGGACGTGGACTGCGGCGGATGGGTGCGCGCCCGAGCCGCGCTCGCACCCCCGAGGCCGAGCCGCCCGAGCCCGGAGCGAGGGACCGCGCGCGCTCGTGTGTGCGCAGGCGCGCGACGGCCTCTGCAAGAAGGACCCCAACCTGTTCACGACGTGCCCCGTCTCGTGCGGCACCTGCACACACCTGTGCCTCGACAAGCAGAACGACTGCCCCCAGTGGGCGTCCGAGAATCAGTGCATCGACAACCCGGCCTTCATGCTCAAGGAGTGCCCGCACTCGTGCATGGTCTGCAATGAAATGACCCACAAGGCCGCCAAGCACCCGGTCGACATTGAGGCTAAGACGGCTGACGGCCGCAACATGGCGCCACGGGCCGCCTGCGGAGATTCGGACCGGCGCGCGCTGTCCGCCCTGCCTCGCCCGCCCTCCACCTCAGCTCGCCTCGCCTCGCCGCGCTCGCCGCGCACCGCCGCGCCTGCCCTCGACGCCGCACCGACCCCTTCCCCGCCGCGCGCAGCAAGCAGTGCCACATCTGGGGAGAGCACGAGTGCGGCTCGAACCCGTCGTCGGTGATGAAGCTGTGCCCGGAGATGTGCGGCGTGTGCACGCTCGCTTGCGAGGACAAGTACTCCGACTGCCCCAACTGGGCACAGGACCCGACGAGCGCATGCGACGCGAAGAAGGACTTTATGCTCCCAAACTGCCCCCAGTCCTGCGGCGTCTGCGCATCGATGCACGACTTCCAAGACAGCAGCAAGGACGAGGTGTAGAGAGGCGGCCGGAGCGCGTCGGGACGCCCGCGGATCAGACGCGCGACGAGCAGGCGGAGCGCGTCCGTCGGCCAGGAAGGCAGCGATCGCACGATATCCGGTGAGCCCACTGGCTGACTCTCCGGCATGGTCCATGGTCTGTGGTCCTCGACAGGAGGATGCCTGGTACAAGCGACCTTGCTATTATGAGCGGCAGCCGAAGCTGTCACCGAATATCAGAGGGTTGGTACCTAGGGTTGGAGAGAGCGGAGAGTGAAAAACGAGACTACAGTGTGCGAGAGAGCTCGCGGGCGAGAAAAACAGTGTTGAATTATTTACCGGTATGGGAGTTTTTGGCTAATCAAACCCTAGGCCTGAACTAATCAAAAAGTGGTACGGGATACCAGTTGCCTCACGGAAATCAAAGCGAGTCGGAGTGCCTTCTTGGTGGCTCGCGCGCCTCTCTTGCCGTACGGCTCTGGGGCGCGTGACACGCGAGCCGGGAGCCGCAGATAGCCGAGAAACGGAGCCGAGAACAGCCCACTGACTCTCTGCCGTGAACCCTATATCGCAGCGCGAGCCAGGCTCGCACGGCGAACGTGAACAGAAGGGAAACTACACAGGTGAGGGCGTTCGGATCTTTGGCAGCACGTTGAAGCAAAGCAGGTGGGGACGAGGACGCGCGTAAGGACGCGTCGCCATCTCTGCTGTGAATAGAGGGAGAGTGCTGCAGCGTTGGAACCGTAGCTCGGCGCCTCGCCCTCAGCAGAGCGGGCGAGAAAAGCTGAAGCTGTTCGCGCCACCGATTATGCAGCAGCCTGGGGCTGGAAACCCCAGTTGTGAACGAACGAGTTGACAGTCAAGCAACACCGTCCCAGCTCTCGACTGTGGCCCCGACCTTCATTCACAGGTCACAGAAAATCTCTCTCTCTCAGGCCACACAGCTCACGGGCAGATTTCATCTCCTGAGTGGTGCCCGGCGCCGAGCCTTTGGGTCGGACGTTGTTATGAGAAGTGGAAGGGTGGGAAGTAAACTGAAACCGAAGCGATCGCGCCGCTGAGCGTTCAGGTCGAGCCGCTCGGCGAGCTGAGTCATCCATCGGCGCGAAAGCTGAATCGCAAGGGAACGCGAGACACATCGTTGCGGAGAAAAATTCTTTGCTTCAGGTTGTCGCGGTCGCCCCGGGGGGGCCGCAACAAGCCCGGTGTGAATACGGTATTTTCTTCTCAATAACAAGGCTGTGAACGGGCCGCCCAGGGCATGTTCCAAGCGCCCATCGCGCTGCTGCTCTCGCTGCTTCTTTTCTCGACGGCGGCGGCGAAGGGCCGTGAGTCCGATCAGTTCGTCAAGTTGACCCGTGCGGACCCGTGTGTCCGGCTGCTCTCTGCCGACGGACCCTCGGGCTGCGCAACGCCCGCAGGTGGCGCAATCGCGCCACTCGTCGCCGTCGAGAGCCGCGAGGCGCTCGCGCGGGTCCTGAATGCGACCGAACCGGTCTCGGTCGCCCTATCAGCCGAGCTCTTTGAGGCCAGCGTGATGCACTCGCTGCGGCAACGTCTCGGTGGCCTGCTGCGCGGCGTGGCCGTGCTGCACTCGGACGGGATGCCGCGCGGGTGGGCGTCGCCCGAGCCCGCGAGCGAGGGCGGCGGGCCTGGGCCCGGCGGCACGGTGCTCAACCCCTCCGGGAGCGGCCTATCGCGCGACTCGTTTGACTTCGGCGTCGTCCTGCTGAGCGCCGGAGAGAGCGCCGCGCTGCTGGGCGCGGTGCGCGCTGGCGGCTCGCCGCTCCTCGAGCTCAAGTACCCGATGTTCGCGACGGGCGACTCGCTCAGCTGCCTCGCCGAGGGGAGCTGCCTCCCTCTCGGAGGGCAGAGCGTGTGGGGCGCCCTGCCGCCACGCACCGCCGCGCAGTCGCCGCCGGCGAAGGACAAGCCAGCCGTGATGCTGACTGCGTCGCTCGACGCCGCCGCCTTCTTCCACGAGCACGCCGCGGGGGCGGAGGCGGCCGTCTCTGGCACCGTCGCCCTCCTCGCTGCGGTCGCCTCCGTCGCTCGCCTCGCCGGCAGCGCAGAGCAGCTCGAGGCGCTGCCCCGCACGCCGGCGTTCGCCCTCTTCACTGGGGAAGCGTACGGGCAGATCGGATCGCGCCGCTTCTTCGGCGACGTGGAGACGTTCCGCTGCGACAACCGGAGCCGCGAGGAGGGGGCGGCGCCGCAGAGCGCCGCGCCGCACCCGCTCGGTCCCCCTCCCTCGTGCGCTTCGCCGTACAAGCCCGACCTGCGGTTCGCTGCCCTCCGGGCGGCGGGCGGGGCGGCGGGCGGGGCGGCGGGCGGCGTGGCGGCGCTGCTCGAGCTGGGGCCGCTCGGCTCGCGCGGGGGCGGCGGGGCGGGCGGCCCGGCGCGGCTCTTCTTGCACTCTCCCGCGGCGGCGTGTGCGCCCGACCTGGAGGCCGGAGGCGGCGTCGGCGGAGCGGTGCGCGAGGCGGCGCGCGAGCGAGGGGCCCGCGTCGAGGTGAGGGAGGCGAGCAGCGCGGGCTTGCCTCCTGGCGCCGCCGCCTCCCTCGCCGCCTCCCTCGCCGCCTCCTCCGCCTCCTCCTCCGCCTCCGCCTCTGGGGCGGGCGGGAGCGGGTGCTCCTCCGCACGTGCCGTGTGAGTGTGAGAAGTGTGAGCAGCGTCTCTTCACACGTGCAGCTGTGAACAGGTGCCCCTCGCTTGGCACCTTGGCAGACTACGACGCGGAGAGGCGCGGCGGCGGACGGTGCGCCAGGGCAGACCCGTGAGCACAAGCACACTACACAACACACATCACACACATCACACACATCACACACACAACACAGACAGACACACACACACACACACACACACACACACACACACACACACACACACACACACACACACTCGCACACACCGCGCGCGCACACACACACACACACACACAAACACAAGCACACACACCATGCACTGGACTCTCGGCGGCGACGCCTCGCTGGTACCGCCCCCGCCCCTGGTACCAGGTACGGCTCTCGCTTCGACACGCTCGAAGGCATCGACGCCTCTCTCGTGTGCGAGGCGTCTGCAGTCGCAGCGGCCGCCTGGTGGCGGCTGGCGGGAGGGGAAGGGTCGCCGGCGCCGAACTGCTCGCTGGTCGAGGAGCGCCGAGTGGACTGGAGCAGCCGAGAGAGGAGCGGAGATTGGGCGAATCGCTGCTGGCGAAGCGCGCAGCCCTTCCCTCCGCCGGGGAAGGGGAGGGGGAGAGGGGTCCGGGCTCTCTCACCTCCCCCCCCCCCCCCCTCTCGCCAGGAGCTGCTGGGCTGCTTCCTCACCGACCCGCGCTGCGCAACCGCGACGCAGCTCGAGGTCGAGCCGCCAACCTCGCGCTACACGAGCGCCTTCCTCCCGCTCCGCGGCGAGCTGGCCGCCTCCGGCACCGCAAAGTTCGCCGCCGCCTTTCTGCGCGCCGCGCTGGCGCCGCTCTGCCCCGCAGAGCCGAGGCGCTCCCTGTTCCCGGGCGCGTCCGGGACGGCGGAGGAGGGCTCGCCGCTGTGCGAGCCGACGGTGCTGACCCACGACGCGGTCTCGCCCTCCCTCGAGTACGACGCGGAGGCGGGCATCTTCCGGCTGGTCGACGAGGCCGCCGTCGCAAACGGGACCGACGCGCTGTGGACCGAGTCCAACTGGCCGCGCGACACGCACGCGACGCTGTGGCTCTACCGGCCCAGCCCGTCCGAGCCGCCGCTGCTCTTCGCCTTCGCGGCGACGAGCATGGCCACCACGCTCGCCGTGGTTGCGCTCAGCTGCAGCAGGATCAACCGCAAGGGTTGGCTTCGAGTGTCGGATTGACTCTCGGAGGCCCCCGCCGGATGTTGGAGCGTTGTCGTATATGGGTTTCGTGTCGCGCGTGGCCACATCACACGCGTAACCTTTTCATGCACGGTGGCCCGTGGGCGTGGCACTGGCCAGACACCAGGACTACTTTAGCGCGGACACCACTCAGACCGCTCCAGCGAGGGGGTAGGGCGAGACGATCTCGAGGGGTCCCGTACCATATGCGGAATCGACCCTATCCAGTGCTAGCTCAAGTGCTCAAGCTAGCACGCGCGAGTCCGCTGCATTGATTTACTTCCTGCCCACCTGGCTGGGTTCCGGCTCCTAGCCAGATAGGGTCTGTTCCCCACGGTGACACCCTAGGTAGGTAGGTCCGGTTTTGACCGCCCCAGAGGGCCCTGCAACAGGTAGGTACCCCCTATTTTCGTCTTTTTTCGCTTCGCTGCGCGGCCTGGGGGTAGGGAGGAAATTAGCGTTTTGGCGCGAGTCATGGGGCTAGACCCCCTATCTGGCCGGTTATCGCATGACAAGCTGTCGCAGGCAGCCTCCTTTCATGCCTCCTCCTCCGGCTACTGTCGCGCCGGCGAGGACTCGATCCGTGTGGCGTGGGTGGTGCCGCAAGGCGCCAAGCCACAGAGTTTTGCCGCCGTCAGCCTGCGAGCCGAGGGCTCGTCGCGGTGGCTGCGGGTCGATGCTGTGTCAGGAAAGCTGGACCAGCCGGACGCTCTGCCGCTGCCGCTCAAGTCGACGAGCTGCGTGGTCAAGGGCGTCGACCCGAAAGCCACGTACGTCGCGCGAGTCCGCCTCGGAAACCAGTCTGGCTGGGGCCCCGACTCGCCCGCCAGCAAGTCGCTGACCCTGGCCTCCCTCCTTCCGACTGCTCCCGCCGCACCACTTCTCTTTGACAAGACGAGCCTGCGAGTGCACTTCTCGCTGCCGCCAGTCCGGCCGGGCGCATCGGCACATGGCAACGTGACCGTTCATGTTAGCCTTGGCAATGGCATGTGGCAGGCTGTGGACGCCACGTCGTCAACTCTCATATCTTCGAATGGCTCTGGCACGGCCCACTGGGCAGACTCGCGGGTTGCTCTCGTGAAGGGGCTGGCGGAGGGTCTGAGCTACCGCGCCAAGGTCAGTGCGAAGAATGCCTGCGGCTGGGGTGCCCACTCGCCTGTCAGCGAGCCGCTTACCCTCGGCGCGGCGGCACTCAAGCCGATCGCCCCTGCCGCACCACTTCTCGAGGCGGTGGACTCGACGAGCTTACGCGTGCACTTCTCGCCGCCACCAGTCAGGCCGGGTGCGCCGGCACATGACTTTGTGACGGTTCATGTCAGCGACGGCGGAGCGGTTGTGGACGCCGCGTCATCGACTCTCAAGCCGGGCCTGGCCTTCGTGGCAGTCGTCGGGTTTGCTCTCGTCAAGGGGCTGTCCAAGGAGGTGAGCTACCGCGCCAAGGTCAGCGTGAGGAACATCCACGGCTGGGGTGCTCATTCGCCGTCAAGCGAGCCGCTGCAGCTGCCGGAGCCAGCGTCACCAGTGTCGGGGCCAGTGTCGGGGCCAGCGTCACCAGAAGTGGAGGTCACGGGCAGCAAGTCGCGCGAGGAGCGCGACGCTGAGCTCCGCAAGCGCTCGGTGGACGTCGACGCGGAGGTCGTGGACGTTGACGCCCCGCGCTACCCCAAGCGGTCGAAGCAGGAGAGCTAGACAGTCGTGCTCGCATCGAGATCGAACGACAGTCCGGCAGTGCGCTCTTCGAGCCGCCCAGTGAGGAGCGGATGCATGCCCGGCGACATTCTACGTACTACGAGACTCCTTTGTACGTCTTGGTGGGAGAGGCGATACGTTCCTGCTCTTTCATCTCTCTCGTATGTGCTGTGTCTCTGTCTTTACGCGCATACCGTACGGTGCAGAGGGGGGAAGGCTAAAAAGCAAGTGTATCACGCACACTGAATATCAAGAGAGAGTCTGAATATCATTGTGCGGCTCGGATATGCAGGCCACTGCAGCTGCACATCTAAAAATCCATCCCGCATCCGCAGCCGCCCAGCTTCCATCAACGGTCGTAATTCGACGTTGTTCTTTGCCACCGCCACGCGCGCGGCAGCCCTGTGAATTTTCTGTCGAGAAAAGGCCCGCGACACACATGCGTTTTCTTTATGCTACGAATATTTATGCAGGGAGAGCGGCATTGTGCAGAATGCATTGCCGTTCTTAAGACTTAACGGAGGGAGTCGCTTAGGCGGCTCCGGTGGTGTGCCGGTGTGTATGCTAGTCTGCGCCACGCCCTTGTCACGTCAGTGTGCTTAGGTAGAAAGGTGAAGAACAGTGAGCTGAAGGTAAGAATTTTACTATAGAAGCCCCTCTACAGCAGACTGGCTCGGACTGGCACTACAAAAGGCACGGTAGGCGACGGCCCCTTATGGGCCGTCGAAGAGGCCGGCGTACTCCTCCGGCCGACCCTGGCGAGGTACTTCCAGCCTGCTGTGGGAACAGCTGACGCAGTCTCGCCGAGGCTCGCTTTAGCAGACTCGGCCAGACAAAAACCCCGAGAGGCGTGGGAGTACCTCGCCAGGGCCGACCCCCCTCCCAATCAACCCAAAAGAATTCCCTTGGCTTAGCAGGCCGCGCGACAGGCCGGCCAGGCAAAAATGCAGGTCATCTCGCCCGAGCCTCTGCCCGAGTGCGTCACTCCCTCTCCGCCACCGCGGCCACTGCCAACCGGAGCCACCGACCCGGCCGCCACCACGCACGCCATCACGATGCGAGGAGCGCTCTATTCGTGGGCCATCCTGGCCGGCATAAAGACCGTGGAGAACCGTCCCTTCCGCCTCTCTCCCGGTTGGTATGGGCTCCACACCGGCCTCGGATCACTCAACGCCGAGACGCGGAAAAGGCTGGAGGCCCGCCTGGCGCGGCTCCCTCCCGCGGCCGATCTGCCGCCGGCCGGCGCCATCGCCGGCCTCATCCGCGTCGACGGCGTGGCCAGCGCTGAGGGGTGCGCCGGGACGGCCGCCGAGCCGTGGGCGACGGGCCCGGTGCGGCATGTGATTGGCGCAGTCCTCGCACTGCCTTCTCCCGTCCCTCACCGCGGCCTCCCCGGCCTCTCTCCTCTCTCCGACGCCACTCGCCTGGCGCTGCGGGAGCAGATCGAGCCGCAGCCGCCTGCCAGCCCGCCACGAGTCGCGCACACCGACCCGCTCCTCCTCCCTCCCTTCGAAGCTGCGGCCAGCCGGCCCAGGAAGAGGCGCTGCCCCGCCGCAGGCCCCGCCGCAAAGGGCGCGCGGAGGCGGCTAGACTGGCCGGAGGCAGGCGAGGCGATGAGTGAGGAAGACGCTGCGGGCGTGGCGCGAGCCTTCCGCTTCCGCTTCAACTTTATGCCCCGAGAGCAAATCTTCCGCTCAGAGGCTGGCAGCGCTGGCGGCGGCGGTGGAGGCGGCGGCGGTGGCGGCGATGGTGACGGCGGCGATGGTGGCGGCAGCGACGGTGGGAGCGGCGGCGGCGATGGCAGCTGCAGCAGCCGCAGTGGCAGCGGCGACGGTGGCGGCGATGGCGGCAGCAGCAGCGGCGGTAATGGCGGTGGCAGCAGCGGCGTCGGTGATGGTGTCGGCGGCGCCGCTGGTGGCGGCGGCGGCGGCGGCGGCGACAGCAGCAGTGCGTTGGTCGGCGGTGCTGCGCTCGCGCGGTACGAGTCGGCGAGGAGGCACCTCTCCGGCAACCCCCCCCCCCCCCCCTCCCTCCTCCTCGCCCCTCGGCCCCTCCGCCTCACCCGCCTCGCCCGCCTCGCCCGCCTCGCCCGCCTCGCCCGCCTCGACCGCCTCCGCCCCGCCCGCAGGCGCCGACCTGCGCCTCTTTTGCTTCGAGGCGCAGCACGAGTTTCTGTCTCTGCCCGAGGAGGCGCAGCTGCTGGCCTGGTGA